GAATTCTCCATAGGCTTGCCAGGTGATCGTCGATCGAGCCTCGTATAGTCAATTCGATTCAACTCTGAATCTGAGTTTTTTTTTTTTTTTTGTCTGAATTTGAATAATCTGGTTTTAAGGTACATCCAATTCAAAACTGATTCACCTTTTCTCCCGAAAAGACTGTAAATGATCTTTGCATACTGTGGGGACTTCGTCGAAATGCAAAGTTTCGAGTAATTAGTGGTTTCCTAAGTATCAGTCTATCTTATATGAAATACACTATCACAAGTATCATTTATAAGTATCAGTAAAATTCAGCAGACAATTCGCCGATCTATCTATCGACCTTCGTTAGAATAATACTGCTTGAAATAATCTTTGATCTGTAATATTTGAAAACTGTCCCGCTCATGTAAATGCCAGTTATTCTCTAAAATTCATTTTATCATGCCAGAAATGATGAAAGTACAAAATTTTCACTCTTGTTCTCGTGTCTGATCAAAAATAAGCCAATGTTCGAATACTTTTATATTCAAGCATCTGTCTCCTAATCTTTTTAAATAAATTTATTCGCGTGCATTGGATTTAATAGCGATTCGCCAGAGATGTCAACGCGTAAGCGAGCTTCTAGCATTACAGAGGCAAAGACAAGAAAAATCGCGCCATTGACGGAAGTTAATTTCCGCCAGAACACCAGTGTCTCGATGGAAATGCTACTTCGTCGGAAGTTTCGCCCGATCGTTCGCTGAATGATTTTCCTTCCGGTTTATCGTGCGTTCCTACAGAGAATAATAGACTTTGTCGATGAGAATCTCGAGCAATGAAATTTTCTCGGGGGAGGGAGGGAGAGATTGGTATTCGCACGATTAAGACGATCGTATTGTTTTGCACCATCGTTTTATCCCATACTAAACCTATAATTACATTCGTCAAACGTCAAACCTTCCGTATCCTTCTATTTTCTTCTTTTATCTCTCATCGCATAATGATTACACGAAAGCGGAAGCAATATTGTCTTCTCTTCTTGAATACTTGAACGTATTCTCCCTGTAGCTGAGTGTCTGCAACGAGAGCTCTACAAGAAATGGACGTTCTGCAAAATCTGCAACGCGAATAAGGAATAGAGTTCGTCTTAGTTGAACGAAGATGCCGAACGAATCGAGATCAAGACTTACCTCTGGATGATGCCCTACGTAACATTTAACCATGTTGTAGGCTTTGTCACAAGGATCGGTCCCCTCTAGAAATGAGCAGTTTAATGTTCCGATCGTACTGATTGCGCTCGATGGATTATGAATTAGGCTTGGTGGAAATTGAGGTGAAATTTCGGTGAATCACTCGAGAAAGAAAATTTTAAAAATAAAGTAGCTGAATTGTTAAAATGATAAGAAAAGAAGTGGATGAATAGTTGTGATGCATATGAAATGACAGATCAATATCTGCAATCCTTCAGCAGGAAGGCAAAAATTCGTTACAAATTTATACGAAAATCTCACGTGTGCACCACCATAATCGAATAATAATAAGTTTCTCGAGGATGAAAACGCGTGAAATACTCACGAACAGATTTACACTTGTCCAACAATATCTTGGATGAGTCCTGCATGCGTCGTGGCAAATGCCGAAGCGCCCTTTGCACGTCCACTTCCGCATTGTTGTCTAAGATACCGTGCCTCATCATCAAGCACTTCAGGTAGCATTTTAAGTTTTGATCTTCCTGTTCCAAGTCTCCGGCCTTCAGCTTCCTTAACGCGACTGAAGCAAAAAACGAAAACAGTATTTCAATTACTGAGCCATTACCTTGGGTTTTTATGGATAATTGTATAACATATAAACTATATAATATACCCCATGAAACCTTCGATTCTCTGCGACAATCCTTTTTAATATCCGCCTTTCCAGAATGCTGAAAAACGAAAATGGACACGAATGTGTGAAACTCTTATCGATGAATTCCCTTCTCGAGATGCGATTGCTTACCAATAAAATTAAGATTGTTAGCAGAACGAAAAAGAAGTAACAATTTCTTAACATTTTTCTTCCGATCCTCTCGACTCGTAAGGAACAGTTTCGAGCCACTTCGAAAGCACGGCCGACACTTCGACTGGAATCTTATCAAGCCAATAACCAGTTGTTATTCGCCCGTTCACATAAACGTCAAGATTTACATAGATCAAAGCAATGTTTGGCGATCAATCAATAAATCGAATTCAAAGCAATCGAATTAATCAATGGCAAACATATCAATGAATCTGACTCGCGTTGCATATTAAAACAGACGTTGACTTGTCAATGCCAAATTTACTTGCACGTTGCCCGGATCGAGATAATCGATCAAGTGTAAAAAATTGAATCGCAAGATAATTGAAGCAAGGAATGCAATGCATTAATCATAAGCTGTCAGATGCCAACGTGTTACGAATCAATCGGGACGCGTTAAGTACCGAATATGACGCGCGTCATATCAGGGAAATTCCAATATCGAGGGAAATTTCTGTCTCGGTAGAAAGAAATTTTCCGAAGGAAATTTTTCGGTTTGACAAAAGGTCCATAAAGAAGGATTGAACGGCAGCGGCACGCAAGTTTCTCCGAGCGAAATCTCGAATCCCATGAATATTTCGGCATTCTGTCTGTCGCGGCGCCGGTCAATTTGTCTTACGAACAAAAAGCTCGCGAACTTTTTCCCCGACGACCAGCGTTGATATACGTTTTCGATCAACCCAGATACTCTGGGATATTCTATTCCCTAGCGCATTCCGTTCGCGGTTCCTTTCGTTAAAAATTTCTTGCCTCTTCTCTTACTTTGAAGATCGTAGACTCACCATCGACGATTCATCTCCGAGATCTCGTCCAAGTTTCGATTAGTAGTAATATTTAATCCTCCGACGGTTTATCTCAAGTGAGAATGTCAAGCATCGAACAGTGCTGTGAACGAGTTGCTCGAGAGATACTTGGCGACACATTGAAACTTACGATTAATCTACTGTACAATTAGTCTGTTATGCATATTTACATTTATTATTGCTTGAGTAATTATATTTAGTTCTCTTCGTCTCTTGTGTCGCTTGTTCTTTGTCTAATATTTTAGTAGAGATCCTAGAATTTGATTCTTTATTCTTTTAATAAAAATATCATTCTTAACTAAACTGATTGCGAAAAATGCCGAGAAAGATACATCATTGTGCACGAGTTATTACGCTTGCAAATAAAGTAATAAAGTTTTGTTTAGATGCTGTGTATCGTCGAATTTGTTTGTCTGGAACACACAAAAGAACACGCGCGTGTACGAAATTGCACATATTACCCGATAATCTACAAGAATACCAGGCAAGGCAATTTCCAATCACGAGGAATCTTCTTCATCAGTGCGATCTCTTGAAAACAATAAATATTATTTTTTCCAAACAGAAGAAACGCGGTGATAAAATGTACTTAATCTCATCTTTCGTTCGTTTTCGAATTTTCCGATAGCCTCGTCAATAAGGCTATTTTTAAATTGAAATTTTAAAAATATTAAGGATAGTAAAGCATATTTATTTAGTGTTTCAGCTTATTTCAAACTTTATAGACAGGATTGTGTGATCAATTCGATATTTCTGAATTTAGGCACCATTGTGTCAGTATCAAATATTATCAAAGATTGACACGATCCAGCAGAATTATTATTTACTTGTCTTTTTAACTTGAATTTTTATCACATTTTGCTTAAACTTTACTTGAATTAAAATCAATAGTAGATACAATTGTAGAAATATGTTATATAACAAAATATTATTTTTTTATTACATACTATACTATTTAAATTACATACTATACTATTTAAAAAGAAGATATAAATATATATAAATATATATATAAATATATATAAATATATATAAACAATTGAATCTCCTCTTCTTACTCTGTCAGGGATCATGATGTTCAAATGTTTCGAGATCACGCAGGAAACTTTCATTCATTTCTAACAGAAATTCGTTCTCTTCGTCGAAATGTGAACGAATATTAGAAGAGAATACCAAATTCGTAGTTTTATAATTCTACTTTTTCACGTAAATAAAAGTATATATTTACGTCTATACTTTTGTGCAATACATATTTTTGTTGGAGTAACAGAGAGTTAAGAACAAAAAATTATTTGATTATTCATATTCGTTAGAATTATAATCACTATGCAAATCTCAAAATTTTCCTATTCGAACGAAGATCATTTTTGATTCATTTTCATTGTTATTAAAATGAAAATAAAAGAAGAACGTGCAGCTTAAAATCTTTATATATTTATAAATTTTTATTATCTTTATAATTATTTATATTTTAGCTTTATTTTAGATTATACATATTATACATATCATATGTCTATATATATATATATATATATACATATCATATGTCTATATATATATATATATATATATATATATGCTAATACATGATAATTTCTAATTAATAATTGCGACTTTAACAGTAGAAGAAGACAATAATTGCTACTGAGAAAGTGGACAACAGTTACGCAATTAATATTTTTATAAAAAAAAGTAAGTATCTCAGATTTATTTTCTTATTACGGATATTACTACATCCACGTTCGTAATTACGCCAATACAATTAAGGTGATACATGTTCTGAATGATAAAATTAATTCCTATTATTATATATAAAATCATGCGTATACTAGTATACTGTACTAATACGTGTACTAGTACATTTCTATCTACTAGGTTAAAAAAAAGAAACTGGTGAAACTGAAAAAGAAACAGACTTTCTATGTTTCCATGTTAATCGTGCAACACTATTTTTGGTCATTTTGAGAGGTTAAGAATATAAAAACAGAAACGTCGTGCATATACATATATACGTGTCTGTCTACTTCTCCTCTTCACAGATGGAGCAGCTTAAACTTTTGCGCATCGTTACCCTGATTCTAACAGAAGAGTCTTGTCTTGCTTTTAAATCGACTCTCCGCGTGAGTTTCGTTTGTCGTGTGCGCAGTACTCTGCGCAGTAAACAAGCTATTCCACTACGTGCGAAAGATGTGTTGTTAAATCGAACTGATTAAATCCCCGTTGAATGTCTGTGTTTCTTTCTCTCGTCTCGTGAAAAATTCATTCACGTACAACCGCGTGCGATTCCGCGAGGTATTCGCAATGCATTAAGCGAATGTATCAGCGACGAAATAGGTTATGTCGAGGCTAGGAAAAAAACAGCAGTGGCGCTGCGGACATATCATGACACGAGTATAATTAAAATCAATGTAACAGTGCAGTGTTTCAAGAAAGACTCTCCTCGGGTGTATTTTTCAACGCGTCTGTTGGACAAGAAATGTCGAACGGATTGACAATGTTGAACAATGACAAAGGCACTAACGAAACAAGTATAAAACTCAAACGTCGATATTTCTTTTTATTCTACTGTCGCGTATATCAATTCTCATAACGCTGTTCTCTTCTTATTCCTGGTCTTTAGACTGCAACACATCCACGATCGCTGCTACCACTTCTGCATCTCCCACAGAGGGATTGCAGGAGGGACATTTGACAGGGGTGAGTTCCAGTTAATTAAGATCATTCCTGGAACACAAGCCTGTTTCAAATGCATAGCCAGTAGCTTATTGTCCTCTTCACAGATGGAGCAGCCAAATATCTCGAGACCGATCTTGAAGAGACCTGCAGAATCAGAACCTGAAGGTCAGTGACTGATTGTATCATGCCATTGTAATTGTTGTATGCGTGTCTATATTAAAGAGAATTCTTTTGTAAACACAAGCAGAACATGGATCACCTTGTAAATCTTTCAGGTTCAAGTTCTCCTGGCCAAAGGAAAACCAGCTAAGAGCACCAAGCGATTAATCTATTTCTATTGTTTTTGTCAGGTACAACCAATCCAAAAAAGCGCCATAAGAATCCACAGCCGAAAAATGCAGTATGTGCCCTGAACGAATTAAAGACTGGTGCGGTATACAAGGTTGTTGACCAAACTGGTCCTACACATGCTCCAATATTTACAATAGCAGTACAAATAGATGGACAAACTTACGAGGGCAAAGGGCGTACTAAGAAAATGGCGAAACACGCTGCTGCTGAACTTGCCCTAAGAAACATCATTCAGTTTAGGAATACGCCAGAAGTTCATCAAGCAATTAATACATGCCAACCGTCTATTCCTCTTGAACCAGATTTTACGAGCGATGTTACAGAACGTGATAATCATCTAGTCAATGCTTTTAAAACATTGACCCAAGAGCCAAAGAGCACAAATAAATTTTTAGAGAAAGGGCCTGTAGCTCTTATTAATGAATTATATCCCGGTGTAGTGTACAAATGCGTGTCTGACAATGGAGAAAGTTATGCGAAATTCACGATATCGGTAACAATTGATGGAGAAACATTCGAGGGAACTGGACCAAGTAAAAAATTAGCGAAAGCTGCGGCTAGCAAAGCAGCGCTGGCCAAATTAAGGAACGTTCACAGTTCCTCGTTCTGTATACCGCTTCCGGTTCGCGTATTGCCGAACTTTTCCAGTAGCGGGCATTGGCAAGATCAAATGACGTTACCTCAAATGTTAGCTGACAAAATTGGAAAGATGGTAAACCAAAAATTTAGCGAATTAATTCAATCGAAACCGCAACACGCTCGTCGCAAAGTTTTAGCGGGCATTGTTCAAACTAAAGGTTCGGATGCAGAGCTGATTTGTGTAACAACTGGTAAGCCTTTTTGCATAATTTTCTGCATATAGATCAAAACTAAGTAAATTATATTATATATATGTGTGTGTATATTCTTTCTAAAAATGAAAGGTACAAAATGTGTTTCGGGAGAACATCTTAGCGTCAGCGGTGGTGCTTTGAATGATTGCCATGCCGAAGTCGTTGCAAGAAGATGTTTGTGCGAATATTTGTATAAACAATTAGAGCTTCATACAGAGGATCATGGAGCGGAATCTATTTTAGAACCGGCAAAAAAGGGTTTCAAGCTAAAGCAAGGGATTCAATTTCATTTATACATAAATACCGCCCCGTGCGGTGATGCCAGAATTTTTTCACCTCACGAGGAGAATGAGTCTGTCGACAAACATCCAAATCGAAGAGCAAGAGGTCAATTGCGAACTAAAATAGAGTCTGGAGAAGGTACCATTCCTGTAAAGAGCAGCGAAGGCATTCAAACGTGGGATGGTGTGCTCATGGTATGATGTATTTTATGTCGAATACAATGGGAAAAAATATTCAACACAGACAAATATTCCCGTACAGACTTCAATACATAAATGTGTACTTTAATTTATAGGGCCAAAGACTGCTGACGATGTCGTGTTCGGACAAAATAGCTCGGTGGAACGTACTTGGTGTGCAAGGTGCACTTCTAAGCCACTTCATCGAGCCAATTTACTTCCACAGCATCGTTCTTGGCAGTCTATTGAACCCAAGCCATATGTACAGAGCGGTCTGCGGCCGTATTGAAAATACTATTCAAGGACTGCCGCCGCCATATAGACTTAATAAACCGCTAATGAGTCTAATCACATCTTCCGAAGTTAGACAACCAGGGAAAGCACCTAATTATAGCGTTAATTGGACAATCGGTACGTCGAAGAGAGGAGATTAGAAACTTCATTGCAACCTGATGTCAACTTATAGGTCAACCAGAAGCTGAGGTAATAAACTGTACCACTGGCAAAGACGAATTAGGCAAACCCTCTAGAATATCCAAACAAGGACTGTTCAGAAGATTTTACAACTTACTAGGTAAACTTGATACTATAGACGACGCTGATAAGAATCAGTGTCGCCATTATTTAGACGCGAAATCTTCGGTACAGAATTATTCGGTAAGTACTTCTCGTTAAACGTTGATACGAGAGTTACGTTCGTCATTATTTCGTTGAATTTTTCTCTACAACAGCTTGCCAAGCATCAGTTGAAGGAAGCTTTCGTAAAGGCACATCTTGGCAGTTGGGTTAAAAAACCGATCGAGCAGGATATGTTTGAAGTTGATATCTGACTAAATCAGGGTAATGATAAGATATCAACGGACGGTGCCGCGTTTCGATTAGCAGACTACGTAGTTCCTACTGCAAACTAGACCGCTCGTTCAGCGTGTTATGATATGGCAGAATGTGGCATCAGTAAAGCATAAATCGTAGGTTCTCACCCATGTCCGGTGATTTTGTATCGTACGACTTTATCGTATGCATCGTGTTCAGAATGTAAAGGAACACCAACCTCTTGGTGATTTATCTTGTCTTCGAGCCGTCGAAGGTTTTACGATTCGATAGTTGCTCAGTTTAGATATAGGATTAACGTAACTTTCGATACTTCGAATTTTAATCTTAATCGTTAGTGTGATGTCAATTTCGACAATTTTTATAGACTGTTAGACGAGTTAAAGAGAAAGAAAGAAAAAAAAAAAAAATGAAAAAGTTTGGTTTCGCAACACGGATCAGATTGAACAACGGTTGTAAATCGTGAGCGAGAACTTGCAACTTGATAAGTTTTTACGATTCAACACATATCTTAAAAAATCAGTTTTATAATGAAAGATGTAAATTTGGTAATTGCTCCAAAACAATCGTACAGAAGAAGAAAAAAATTCAAATTGATCAAACATCTCGGGATTTTATTCGTGCCTGCAGTATTTCCTAGGCTTTAGAAGTAACAGTGATATAACATGCATCAAGTTACATCCCTAAAGGCTGTGACCGAATATAGAATTGTCATGCAAATTAAGTATTTTGTTGCGAAGTTTCAACGAAATAAGACAGGAATCGATTCCTTGTCGGCGTAATTAATTGGTCCGTGCTCTATTTAATATTTGTTCTCTTACGTATGAAATACAGTAATATATTAATTATATTGTTTTTTCATAGTAATCGTCGACAAAGAATCGGCCCTCGACAGTTCGATGTTGTTACTATTGATTTTCATAGGGAACAAATGAAAAAGGAAACGTGTGAGTAAGAATAATCAGCGTGAAAGT